CATTATGTAGACCTTGCCTTGAAATCATTTGCTGAATTGTTCGTTTTTGTTTTGTATACTTTCTGTGTGGAAATTTACATGAAAGAAATTAAAACAAAACCAGCCTGGAGTCACGAAAGATTCGGATTCGGAGTGCAACAAGCATATTCCCACCTCCCACACGAACTGCTCATGTGACCATGGGGAAGTCGTGTTGCTTCATTGGCCCCAGTTTCTCACTGTAAAATAGAGTTCATGATAATGTCCTTACAGGGTTGTTGTCACAAGCAGCCATTGGATATGGAAATAGTGCAGTAGCTTAAGTGATAGTATGTTCTAGGCGTGCAGGGAGCAGTCAGTCACTGAAGGTGGCCATGTAAAATCAAGTTTTCTCCTCAGAAATAATTTGAATAAAGGTCTTTCCTGGCCTTCATTTTTCATTTCATATCTTTAATCCTGTAAAAATTATTTTGAATTATTTAAATTCTTAGTTTCCAAGTGATCAGTGGTAAATACAGAGATAACCAAATGACCCAATAGGCATTGCTGAGCATCACAACATACTAGAGAAATGCACATTAAAACCAGTGAGATTTTACTGCACACAAAACAGAACGGCTAAGTTCTACCAAGTGTTGGACTAACTATGGAACAACTAGGATTCCTGTGCTTTGCTGTAAAATGATAGGATGACTTTGGGAAACTTTGCTGCGGCTTATACTGAAAATTCAAAATAGGCCTATTTTGCGATCCAGAGAAGTAAGTTCATGTCTACAAAGAGACTTGCACAAGAATATTCATACTAGCCCTAAACTGGAAACAACCATCTGCATCAGTTGAGAGAATGAATCAACAAAGTGTGATAGATTCATGCAGTGAACTACTACATAGTGATCAAAACGAACAAAATTTTGATACACGAAGAAACCTAGAAGGAGCCCAGAAAATCCTGGTGTGAACTAATGAAGCCAGGCCCAAGAACAACATACTAATTTTAACCCATTTAAGTGACGTTCTAGACAGGCAAAGCTGATGTACGGTTATAGAAGTCAGAATAATGGTTACCCCTGAAGTGTGAGGAGTTGGTATTGGCTGGAAAAGCTAGGACCAGAAGTCCTTTCTGGAGTGATGGACATATTCTGCCAGTTGAGATGGTGATGTTCTCTCAACTCAACGGCAGTCATAGCCCACCGCCATCGAGTCCACCACTACTCACTGTGACCCTCTCGGACAGAGTAGAGCAGCGCCTGGGGCTTTCCAAAGCTCTGCATTTCTAAAGAAGCACCCTGTTACATCTTGCCAACGGAGTGCTTTAACCTGCGTGCCACCAAGGCTCCTGATGATTATGTGGGTCTATGGCAATGCAGACATTCCTTATGCTGTACCCTTAAGACCAGTGCATTTTATTGTATGTAAATTGTGCATCAATTTTTAAAACATCTCTTGCTTTTTCATTTAGGGTTATCCGTCTGAAAAACTCATATTAAAATCCATCTGCTAGAAGCAGCAGTTTGGGATTTGTGCTGTTAGTTTAAACCTTAGTTAGAGAAGTCGTGTCTGTAAATATCGCACAGGAAGCATGGAGCAGCTCCAGAAAGGAAAGCACAGCTCATTCATTCGGGCCTGTTGTGACGTCCGTTTGTCTCAGAGGCAGTATCTGTTTTCTTTCCCACTGATGAAAGAACCTCACTCCTTACATTCAAACTCTCAAGGACAAACTCTTGCCATCGAGTTGATTTTGACTCAGTGACCCTCTTGGGACAGAAGAGAACTGCCCATTTGGGTTTCTGAGGCTTTAAATCTTTTCAGGAATAGACAGCTCGTCTGCCTCCAGCTGAACAACTGATGGGTTCAAACCACTCATGTAGTGATTAGTATTTCAGTGCATAGCCCATTATGCAACCAAAAAAAAAAAAACATAGCCCACTGCCGTGGGGTCCAGGATGACTGATGGCAACCCTGCAGGATAGGGGAGAACTGCTCCAAGAGACGGTAGCTGTGTACAGAGGAGAAAGCCCTTTCTACCAAGGAGGGACTGGTGGTTTTGAACTATGGACCAACAAATAACCACTACACCACCAGGGCTCTCCAATTCATACTCTAGCAGGAATTGTTCTCTTGGTCCTCTTTTCCTCTTAGCAACAATGATTCAACCTAATCATACATAGATGCTAATATTCCTTTTCTCTAGTTACTGTGCCATACAACCTAACATGAATTTTTCTGTTAAGCTGATGCAGTCAGCATGCCTGATGAGAACATACTATGTACAAGCCAGTGATAACGGTAATGCTGTTGTTCTTGTTGTTAGCTGTCTTCTAGTTGGTTCCAACCTGCAGTGACCCCTATGCACAACAGAAAGAAACACTGACCAATCTTGCATCATCTTCACAGTGGTTCTTAGGTTTGGAGCCCATCGTTGCAGCCACTGTGTCAGTCCACCTTGATGAGAGCCCTCCTCTTTTTCAATGACCTTCTACTTGACCAGGCCTGATAGGAAACATTGTGTTCATGCTCAGGTTGCATTAGGTACTGTCTGAAGCACTTTGTATGTAGTAGCTCATTTAATCATCACAACCACCTTAAGAGGCCCTGTAAGATTGCAAGATTGACAGCTTGGGGGTGAAGTAGAAAGAAATAGAACCTCTCTCTCTCTCTCTCTCTCTCTCTCTCTCTCTCT